CTGTGAGGAGGTGGGCGCGAAGGCCTTTCCCTCGGCACCTCCCCGCCACGGCCTCCCGGGCCCCTTTTCAGGGCCAGCAGAGGAGGGGGGAAGAAGCAGGTAAAAAATAAACCCCTATTGCACCCTTCTGGCAGCGCAGGTTGGGAAGTCGGGCACCGGGCGGGCGGCCTGACCGCGTGAGGGAGCACAGACGAGCCTGAGGCTGGCTGGAGGCGGCCCCCACCCAAAAAAAAGGCTGAGGGCGACCCCAGCCAGCACGGCTCGCAGGGTTTAACCTTTCTGCTCAGGTGGGTAGCAGAGGTCGCAGGCATTCACCGAAACGCAAGGATTTTGCAGCAAAAAGCGGCCTCGATGCCCAGGCCGGGAGCGCTGCTGCCTGACGGCCCCCCTGGAAGGACTGAGCCAGCAGTGAGGAGGAGAGCGAGCGAGTCAGACACACGCTGCGACCTTTCTTCCTTACCATAACATGCAGTTTTAAAAACCACCACAGAATTTCAAGACTTGTTTTCTTCAGCTGCAACGGGGTTTCTAAAAATTGCGCTTGCCACTCAGAGCTGGCAGCTTGAGGCTAAGAGTATATCAAAAGGCAAAAAAAAGTGAAGTAGAAGAGCAAAGTGTGCTTTTTGGTTTTTTTTTTTTTGCTTTCCCTTCCCCTGCTGCAGGGTGGGGAGGCAAGGACACAAATAACGCTGCTCCGAGTCAGGCTCCCTCGTGTGAGCTGGAGAGGAATACAACATCCCGCCAACCCGCTCCGAAACCTCAGCCTCCCGCCAGCCAAACGTCAATGCTTGGAAATACATTAAAAAAAATGTCAAAAATAAAATTAAAAAGGGCTTTTTGACTCTTCAATGCAATTCCCGGAGCGCCCTGCCACGCGGGCAGGCTGGGAGGGTGTCAGTGCCATCTTCCGTCGGCCGCGCTGCACTGCACAGCCCTGGAAATCGGGGCTGGAAAAGCGGGATTGCATCACCCAGCCCTTCCAGCCTGGCTCAAACCCTTCCTCTTGGAAAAATCCTGAGCCAGGGGAGCTCCCAGCCCTTCTGACCCCAACCAGCTCTGGCCACGGGGAGGTTTCTGCCGCTAGAGCACGCTTGCAGCCCTCCATCATTACAGAATATATTTTATTTATGGAATTTTAACAAATAACTTTACAATTCACGTGACATAAGTTATGTTCTTTGTTTCAGTGTGTATCTCTTACAACACCTGAGTTACTGAAATACTGAGATGGAATGTGAGCTTCGAACCAGACACGGGAAGGGAAATATGGATTAAAAAAGAAAAAAAAATCTATAACAAGCTCGATTTGGGTCGCTTTCCCTCCTCGTCCTCCCTCCTGCCCTATCGCTTACCCGACGGCGGGTACCAGTCGGTCCGAGCCAGGGACAGGAGGTCCCTCCAGCCAGTCCTTTGGCAGAGGGAGGGCTCCTCTCTGTGAGGACCCTCGTTTCTCCGAGGGGTTTCAGCCCCTCTCCCAAATCTCCGATTTGCAGATGTCTCAAAGTCAACTCAGTTGGCAAGAAACAGGGTTAAACTTGAAACGAGAAGACGACGGACTCGCGATCCCCGCCGTGTGCTGAGGGCCCCATACCAGCTCTGAGGAAGCCAAGCGTCAGTCCTTGCCCCGTTTCCAGCCCCCGGGGACGCAGCGGACCTCCCAGACACAGCCTGCAACGCTTCGTGGTCCCCAGGGGACAGGCAACCAAGACTTCCCCCCCTTCGCCTCCGACGCAGGGGCATTTCCATCTCTGTGAACCGCTCCTGCCAGCCACGACTCAGCCCTGGCAGTGCTATGGCCGCCCTCTGCCCCGTGGAAAGCCGCCAGCAATACCGTGTTTTCCAAATACTTCCTTGCGAGAGAAGAGGGGGCACATGTGCCATTCAAAGGACTCAGTTTTTCCACATCGAGTTGGGCTGCTGCTCTCTCGAGCAGGGAAAGGGAGTTTCCAGTGCCAGCCTCCTCCCGACTACTGAAAAATAGCAGCAACTCAAAGCATGGGTAACGACCCCGAGGTGCTGCAGGGAGCCAGGACAGACCACGCTGCTCTGAGACGGCTCTGCCCCACGGACCAGCCACAGAGGGAAGAGCGACTGACCAGGACTGTCCGCACGAACAAGAGACACTGCACGGGATAAAGCAGAGCCCGTCTCTCCTCGAAGGCATCACCAACGGCAGCAAGCGGCCCGATGACTGTGCGGTACCTCTGGGTTGAAGGGTGCTCCCAAGCAGGCTCCCTGCTCCTCGACATGCTGATATTTAACCTCCTGGGTGCCAAGGGGACAAAGTAAATGCCTGGCCTAGCCAAAGCCACCCAGAGCAGAGGTGCTGATCCACGAGGATACTAGCAGTGCCACATCTCAACAGGCAGAGACCTAAGGACTTGGTGACAACTGCTAGGATCCTAAGAGGAACATCATCCAGCTGGAGACCTAAGGACTCGGTGACAACTGTTAGGATCTTAAGAGGAACATCATCCAGCTGGAGACCTAAGGACTCGGTGACAACTGCTAGGATCCTAAGAGGAACATCATCCAGCTGGAGACCTAAGGACTCGGTGACAACCGTTAGGATCCTAAGAGGAACATCATCCAGCTGGAGACCTAAGGACTCGGTGACAACTGTTAGGATCCTAAGAGGAACATCATCCAGCTGGTAGCTAAGGCAAATAAGGAACTACAGTGAGGTACCAGCAGCCAGCGATGAAACCAGGGTACGATGCTACTGGATGGTGCTGAGCCTGCCCCAGGCTACGCCGAGGTGCTTTGCCGCTCTTGCGACAGGCAGGAAAAAATACCCAGCACACCCTCCACTTTGCTTTCCAACAGAAGCGGAATGGAAGGTGCGGGGAGCCTCAGCTCCAGCCTGGGGTGCTGAGCAGCACCGAGCCGAGGTGTCAGGATGGCTGTGGCCCCGTCACGCACACCTCACAGCCACCTGCACAGGCAGGGAGCGAAGGAAGACGCTCGGTGACGAGCCACCCACGGCGCGTACACCAGCGCCCTTCGCAAAGCCACCCGCACCCCGCCTTCACCCCAATCCAGCGCCATACCCACGAGGGTAAGTTGCCTACATCGGCTCCCGCCCATCAGCATGGCCACAAACTCACCACTCCTGGGTGCAGGAGAAGGTTTGGGGGGGGGAAGGGGGTACAAGGGAACCTCAAGCAACACGGGTGGGGCGGGCAACATTATCAATATGATAATAAGTCAATTCACCTAGTGAATCTGGGGAAAGCCAGCCCAGAAGCAGAGCTGTGAAGTGCCTGTAACACCCTCCTCTGGCTACTCCCTAAGGCTGGAAACACACAACCTAAAGAGGTTCACAGTCTATTTTTTTTGTTTAAAAACACCTCCCACCCCACCCCACCCCGAACCTCAGCAACTCAGCAGCATCAGTGTGTAAAAACCGGTGTCCGTTCCCGGGTGTCGGCGTGAGCTTGGTCACAGCGTAAGGACCGAAGCCCTGGCTGCGGCCGGGCAGGCGCTCGCCGCCCCAGCTCTCCTCTCGTGTCCTTCTCACCAGCATCGCCACCCGGCTGCCCTCGCAGAAGAAGGGGGGTTTTCCCCCCATACAGCAGCAGGTAAGAGCATCCCGCTAACCTTCTGCCAGCTGCTGCCCCACGCAGCCCACGTATCAGTCCGACCGGCACAGGGTGCGGTTTGGTGTCCTCTGCTCCGAGCGCTGGCACCCAGAATGTGCTTTAATAAAAACCCCCTCTTCACCCTGCTCTTCCCAGGGCATCGTCTGGGCTGGGCTGCCGAGGCAGAACGGGACCGAAACCAGATGTGGCTCCACAGACACGCTTCTGAAGGCAGCGAGGATGATGCTCAAATCATGGGCCGTGCTCCTCGAGCCTCCTCTTCCTCGGCAGCCCCCCGTGCTTGGAGGGCACAGCTCCGGGGACTGGCTGGTAGGTAACTCTCCGAGAAGGGTCTGTCCCCATCAGGCACCCCCCGCAGAGGGGTCAGGAGAGCGTCACCTCCCATCGCACCACTCCGAGCACGAGGAGGGGAGCAAGACGGCTAGAGGAGCTCCTGTCTCCCAACTCCATCCTTCCCAGGAGACGCGAGGAGAGAAGGGATCTGACACTGGAAAGAGATCCTCTGGTCAGTTCGGTCCTACGGCAAAGGGGATTGAGCTCTCCTCAGCCTTAAACCAAAACAAAATGAAGTCTGTGGAACAGCTTTAACATCAATGCCTCTTCTGTAGCAATGTCAGTGCCCGCACAGGTACCGTCGTATGCTTGCAGCAGGAAAAGGAAAGGGGGGAAAAAAAGAAAAAGAAAAAAATACCCCTTCCCCCCCAAAAAAAACCAAAAAATGGAAAAAACCAGACCAGGGCTGTGGGTGGGGCTGGTCCTACCCTATCTGGATCTGGCCAGAGTACATGGTGAGCAGCACCATGATGGTGAACCCCGTCAGCAGCCCCGCGTTCTGGATGGCGAAGGTGATCAGCGTGCTGCCGTTCTGCTCGTCCTCCCGGCTCACCTCGTTCATCTCGGGGAACTGCGGCAGGGAAGAGAGCGCGATGGCAGGGCTCAGCCACGGGAGCGGCTCCGTCCTTCCCCGCAGCTTCCCACCCCGTGCTGCTGTCCTGGCAAATATTCACCACCCGTCCCGGGCCCAGTAGGAAAAGCAAGGGGGGGAAAACCCCCGGCCGCTACGGACAGCGTCTGCATTGACCGGGAGGGCAAAGCAAACATCCCCCTGCGCTCTCTGTGCCTGCCTTCCCTCCAGGCTCTTCCTCTAGCCAGGCCAAAAAACCCTGGCAAGGTCCCGACCGCCCACCCGGCAGCCCCCTGGGCTCATCATTTACCATGTCAGCCAGCGCAATGTACAGAAACATCCCTCCAGCCAGAGCGAAGATCCAGTTGGCAGAGAAGTGGCTGCCAGCCACGATGCCG